CATCAATGAACTCATCAACATTTGCTCACATATGAAGGAAAAATCTTTCCATTGAAAAAACTATAGATGGCATACATAGTAATTCAAGAGCAAGCTGGTAGATGCAAACTAGAAATTTATATTGATGTTAGTATGCCCTATTGAAGAATAAATGAAAATCCACCGTCTATCTATCTTATGGATAAAAAAGTAAACAGCAAATGTAAAAGTTGATTGAAGAACAAGCTATACAATCAATCTTTAACACACTACCACCAAATCTATCAATGTATAGAATCATGATAATCAAGATATATAACACCAAAATCAAAGCGATCAAAGAGCGTTTAAGATCATGTGAAGCATATTTATTAATCAATAATCATGTATCATAATGCAAAGGGCCCATATAGCTATAGAGCATAGTGTAGAGAGTAAAGCGACATAGTATTTTTAAAATAACGTGAAACACTAAGAATTCATGAATACTTTATCAAAAATTTAACAATAAAAACAAAATTACCTTAATCCTAAAAATAACAATTAATATCATATAAATAGAATATAATATAGTATTAATACATTAAAAATATACATCAAAATCCATGCAACTTACTAATATTATATAAATTTCATAACGGAATCATAAGAGTTCATGACATTGAATTATTCAGGTAAAAGCCATTAAATTTTCAGAATATAGAGGTGAAGCAAAAAGAGTAGAAAATAATTTCAATGAACTTGAAATAAACATGACTAAATACCAACTCTTGACCTGAATGAATTAGCTCTCAATCTTAAAATCAAACCTCATTGATTCAAAACTAAACATTCAAAAATCATCCTTCATCCAACCCCTTAGTTTAGAAATTCAAAAGTATAGTTTTAATGGCAAAAAGGTAAAATTTCAAATGAAGTTGAAAAGAGAAAGGTAAGTAGATTGATGAATGTTATGAGCAATAGCAATCATCATTAAATTAAATCTTAGCACAATATGCACTAATCCATAAAAAAGATGCAATATTTCAATCTATCATATTTGAATATATTTCACTATCAAAAGTGTTTCCTTAGCCTTATATCCAAAAATTTGATAGTAAAAAAAAGAGCATGTAAGAAGAGGCCACTCACTTCAACCAGAGGAAAAGCTTTGGGAGATTAGTGAATATTTAGATAACTCAAAAAAAATGAAGATGATTATTATAAGGCAAGTATTATATGAAAAAGAGCATTTCTCTTTTTTTTTTTTTTGGATAAAAGAGAGAAAGGAGAAAAACACATTAAACTAAAATAAAGGCAAAGACATCTCTAATCAGAGGCGCCAATAATAAGGTAGCTATGTAGCGATTCTATAAGCTCCACCTAATGGACTGCCGTACAACACCTGAATATTGCAAGATAAAATCCTACATTTAAAGGAAGATAAATACCTCTACCTAACTTGTCATGTCCTTCAATTAGATAGCAAAGCGAAAACATTTGCATAAGAGTTGAATTTTGTAATTAAAATACTCTCATTATGCTATCCAAACTCTATAATATTTTTCTTAATCATACAAGTAACTTAAATAAATAAATTAAACCACCCAAAAAATTAGGTAAGAAAACAATCTAGTGTGTGCCACATGCTATATATATATATATATATATATATATAGCACATAACATACTATTTTGTTTTGTTTTACCTTACCATACAAATAGTATAGAAACTATGCGCCTATGGGTTCTAGCGCATAAGTTATTTTTACATTATTGACATGTATGGCACATAAAACGGCGGCCTTCCGATGACCCGGTTAGGAAAGTAGAGATATTAGATTTAACTTATGTTAAGAAAGGTAGAGATAAACCTAAAAAGACCTAGTTAGAAAATATTAGACATGATCTTTCTTTATTAGATTTAAATGAGAATTTAAATTTCAATAGGACACAATGGAGAAAAAGGATTCATATAGCCGACCCCACGTAGTGGGACAAAGGCTTGATGTAGTAGTTGTTGTTGGCAGGATTACACAATGCACCTTCATATAACAAACATCATGAAAATATCAAAAGGATCATGTTCATGAGTTTTAAAATCTAATTTATTAATGAAAATTGCTAGTATTTTTAGTTTTTATATCACATCATTGAAAACAAAAAGAAAGCGTCTACCATCGAAGATGAGTTGTCAATCAAAGGCTAGAGGCAAAGAGTCTAGAACATTGGATCAAAATCAAGATTACAATAGCATATTGATGAATTTTAAATTATTTTGGATAAGTTTATTTTTAATTTTAAAATTTGGAATAAGAGCATATATTGTAATTATCTAATAAATTGAAACAACCTACTTTGTTATTATATATATGGTTCATTATATTGAGGAATTTATTTATGAATTTACTTTCTTCTATTGTAGAATCAATTTAAGATGGATAAGGAATGTTTTTAGTTAAATTCCTACTATAATCATACCTATAAATACGATGGAACCCTAAGATGAAATTCAATAAAAAAAATGTTCTCAAAAACTTTCATCTTCTATTTTTTCTCTCAACCGTTGGCACAATTATTGTAGCAAATGCGGCAAGCAGTAGCCAACAAAGATAGCATTGTAGGATACAAGCTCACTAGCATAGCCACTTAGAAACTTAAGCAGCTGCTCTTTGCTTGTATAGTTACTTGTTGCTACTATCGCTTGTATTGTAACTTGCAGTTGCATTTATTCATGAACTTTTTTTTTTCTACAGAAAATAAGGGTTGGAACAACAACTAGATGTTGTCCAGTAAAAAGTAATGAGAATGCTTTCTATCCAGCATAATAAAATAATTCAGATTGCCATTTTTAAGCAAGCCAGGAGAAGGATCCAGCAGTCGGCTTGCTACTCAATGCAGGAAGACTCAAAACAAAGAGAATTTCATATCCATAACAAGAAAGAGGAAAAAACAGAAAGAGTGAGTCATCTACAATGTGAAAAATGCTCGAGATAATTTTAATTAACTGATAGATTAATTAAAAAGCATCAAAAAAGTCCTAAAGCATCTTATAATCCATTCTAGACTTTAATTATAAGCTTACAAAATAATTTTATGAGGTTGACTACAGATTATATAGGAAACATATTTAGATGGGGGATAAGGAAGAGCTTAAACAAGTACTTTCTTATAGGATATCCAGCAAGAATTTCGTCACAACCCATACTAGCTCAAAAAGCATTCACTCGCAACAAGAAGTTCATTAAAGAGAGTTTAATTTATATGGAAGGAAAAAAACCTAGAGCAATGTAGTCGAAGGATCAGGATCATTTCAAATTTAACTAGATCCTCTCCAATGACCACAATAACTGCAATTATTGATTCAACAATCCAATTTATTTTGGATAGGCAGGATTAATTCTTCCAAACTGATTTAGAAAAACTTAACCCTATGCAAACAATATCGTTTGTTTGGCTGGGATAACAACACGCGGAGTGGTAACTATAATAATTGGAGTAGATTTGAATTTTTATACCAAACAAGGTTTTATTCTTGCAGATTTATGTTCATGTGAATTCACACATTTAAGGATGTTGCAGCTATTGTGTTGTATGTTTGATGGATTTTGATGGAATAATTCTTAAGAGAAATTTGTAATAGGAAATCTAACCTATAGAGGCAGAGAAATGCTTCCAAAAAAAAAAAAAAAAAAAAGTCAACAGATCTTGAACGTATTTGCTTATCTTGCAGAGGAGTGTAATGTAGAAAAAAAATGATAGGATACAGCACATCTTTATACAGATATGTTGTTGAAAATTTGTTGATTTAAATGGGCGTAAAACACAATTCTCATGGCCAAATACAAACTGTAAGAATTTTACAAATGCTTATAATCCATATTTTGGCTCCCTGTTTGAGAAAATATAACAATTAAACAGGAACTACCATCAAAACAAGCACTACATCAGTTTGGAGAATCTATGATGCACAAACACAAACACAGCGACATGGATACGACATGACACGGACACAGGATACATCAATTATTGAAAAAATACGAAACGGACATGGGTTGTACACAATATTATAGTTTTTTTATATATTTTAAATAGTGTATAAAAATTGAATAAGTATAATATTAAAAATAATTTAGAAAAAATAAGTATTTAACTAGAATTTGTGATTAAAATTATTAATATTAAAATGTCGAGAGCTTGGAATCAATGCCTTGTATCAGGCATCGAGAGAGGAGACGACAGTGCTATCGAGAGTCGGGCAATGTTATGCAGTATGTATCAGGCGCTGATGTCGAGAGGGCATCTGTCGTCAATGTTAAGAGGATGTTGGTCGTCAATGTTAAGATGACATCGGACAAATATGAGCTATCAAATTGGCCCTGTTAAAATTACTAGCGTCTAGCATCAAAGTCAAGACAATGTCAAACTTTGATGTTGAGGTGGTTTTGAAATGTCGATGTTCTAATGACATCAATGTTGAGATGACTAAATTTTTTTATCAGGTATTATTGTGAAACCAAAGTCGTGACCCGCCAGAGAGAAATGAAAATGAGAATATTTCATGAACGAGGTATTGAGTGCGGGCGATTTATTTGGTGTTGTGGAGAGAAAATAAAAAATTTAGTCTTTGTATTTTAAATAAATAAAAATTTTAATTTAAAAAAAATTATAAAATATTTAAGACACTTGTGTCAAATTTATATTTAATATTTTTTTAATCATACACATTTTCGACGTGTCTGACACATGTCAGAGGTGTTTCGGACGAATGTCTTGTCAGATACGTATCAGACACTATACGTCTATTTGAGGAGAAGTGTCAGTACAACATAGTGGAGATTATTCCTATCAAGAGTATCCACATAAATATAATGAAAAAAAAAACATACATAATAGCGGTCAATAAATCTTGAGTGAATAATAGAAGTGCATTACTTGCAAATTTAATATTCAATAATCAATGTTGGCAGAAGAACTAGAATAAAATCATCATCATCTCCACAGGACCACAAACTTATGAAAGCACATCAGATATATAAGGATATCCTAAATTTTGAGACATTATATATGAAATTATACCGATCAAGTTAGGCTATATAGGCCCAAACATATAAAGCAAATCAAACATATGAGCAAATAAATGCACAAGTGTAAACTGTCTCCTGCCCTCTCATAGAACCTGAAGAGGGTTGGAGTAAGTGCTTAAAACTGTTTATGTGCCATCCATTACAGCCTGAATATCCCTAATGCCGTATCAAAAGAAAAATATGCACAATAATTATATGCAAAAAATAGAGATGGTTTCAAATTGTAGAGAAGCACAATCTTCCATCTTCCAACCATTTTCTGGGTCACCCTATCAAAAGACAATTACGACCAAGCAGGATTTAAATAACATGGAGAAAGCTACGTCAGAATATTTTTATTGTCTCAATAGGTAGATTATTGAAACTAACAAGAGCAGCAAATGAAGGTAGGGTTCACTTATCAAACAAAGGTTAGAATTTCTCCAATCAATCACCAGCAGATGGCGTTGATGACTTGAGCTCGTCCAAAGTCAACTTTATCTGATCCCGCATGAGCTCTATCCGTTTAAGGTACACCTCTAGCTCAAGAATGTTCTGATTTCTCCACTTCTCATCAACTGGGAGATTCCCTTGCAAATTTCCAATTCCCAATTGCAAAGGATTCATCCCAAGTAAACCACCACCACCAAGGCATCCAATCCCAGGTATGAGCCCTCCCTGAGGCCCAGCCATTGCAGACTGCAGGAGCTCCTTAAATAACGGCGATAAGCAACTCTTCACAGTTTCCTCAATAATGCTTGGAATTGGAACAGAAAATGGTGGATCCGGCGGTGCAGCTATCGGAACCTCCACAGCCACCCCAGCAGCCGCAGCAGCGGCGGCCGCTGCCGCGGCCGCTGCTGCAGCAGCAGCCTCTTGTTCAGAATTCCTAATCCTTATTCTTCTTTTCGAAGACCTTGATAGTTTCCTATCTGAGCTCAGGGAGCCATCAGCTGCAATAGTGCCAACACCAAATCCAGAATCAAATTCCACAACAGCAGATGAAGGATTGGGTGTGAACTCATCATCTTCGCTGTCTCTGCTGCGCTTGATGCTGGCACTCCAGATCTTCCTGGAGATCTCAAAGGTGGCTTGCTCGTGGGCGCTCTTAAAGGCAAATTCCTTGCCCGAAACCATGCGGTTGACGACGTTCCGATACTTCTTCTTCAGACGACGGAGTTTCTCGATGAGCTGATTTTTGTTGAACTCCAGCTGTAACTGCTTCTTGATCTGCTCGTAGAAAGGACCGGTGTCGTATTGGTGAGATGCGTGGGTCGTCCCCCGCTGTGTTGTGAACTCTAAGAACCCTTGCAGAATTGTGATCTCATCCTCGTCAGTCCAAAGCCGCTGGAACAGCCTCCGGGAATCGTCCACCGAAGCCGCCGACGCCACGCGCCGGGATTCCTCAGCCGCTGACACGATATGCGCAGGTGGAGGAGTAAAAACATCGTTTTGCGAGATGGGGACAGCCTTAATCGACCCGTTCTGAGGGGCTGTTCGCGTTGACGCGGCGGCATGGTTAGGGTTAGGGTTGAGGAAAGTGATGGGAGAATTGGATTCTTCTTTAGGACGAAACGGCGGCTGAGAGTGCGGCGGCGGTGACACATCGGGAAACTCTTCCTCATCATCATCCAGGTCGTCTTCCATGTCGCTGTCATCTCCATCACTGTCATCAAGTTCGTCGTCTTGCTCAAAGACGCCTCGTTCTTCTTCCTCCACCGGCGGCATCGCTTGCTACCTCTCTCGATCTCTAATGCTCCCAAGACGGCACCTCGCCTTCTCCGAACCGCGCCGTCCGCACTGCTCCCCTGGTTCGTAATCGATAGTGGATCGCAACCAAAACGGCGGAATTGGCGTTTTATTTAAGATTAGGGTTTAGAAGCCGAGCCGATGAGTGGCCCGCTAGACCCGAGCCGATGCACAGAAACTATCAGCGGCATCCAATCAATTTTATCCGTTTGATTGAAATCATTCGGACTAGTAGGAATTACATCCGTGGAGATCCCCAAAAAGGTCAAAATTAAAATTAATTATCTATTATTATTGGAATATTATAATTAAATTTATTGCGCGAAAAATACAGTGAATAGCAAATCCTTATTTTAGAAATTTTTTTAAAAAAGATATATATATATGATATTTTTTCAAGCATAGTTGACTTACTAAATAATTTCATATTTAATAGATATATTTGTGAAAATTAAAATTATAATTACCACTTTGCCCATATAAGAAGATTGGAGATAAAAAAATTATATATATATACATATTCTATCATATTTGATGCAATGTATGTTAATGGATTATTTTTACACTATTGAAAGTATTATTTATGGGCGCATTGCTATGGGCTTTCATATTTTGTAAATATGCTATACTTGCCATCCTCAATTCATACAAAATTAAGCGTCACTTTATTATTATATGGTAATATTTCCTTGTATAAAAATTTTAGTATTTGTTGGTATGTTATCTTTAGAAATTTTTTAATGATTAGTGGTCAATAAGTCAATAGTTCTTGCACTATATTATTATCATAGAAAATTGATTGGGGCATTGAAGGAGTGAATTCTCTAGCAAGTTTGATACTTTTATAAAGATAATTCAGTGATATATATCTTCCATAATTGTTTTAATGAATTTATCTTCTTCTTCTTTTATTTGTGCTCAAATCTAATATTTGTGTTTATATATTTCATGTAGTTAAAATGGAGCTTTTTTCTCAACTTTATATATTTGTAAAATGATAACATTGGTGATATTAGGCATTGTCATTGGCATCGATGCCAATGAAATCATTCAAGAAAAGTTGTAGCTAAAGTAGTAGTTACATTTTTATAGATTTCAAACAAAAGTAATGATCTAAAACATTGGTCTTAAAGTAAATTTGTTTGTTACCACATAATTTTTGAATATCTAAATGGAAATGTATATCTAATTGATGTCTCTCAACCATATATTTATGATGTGGCACAAGGTGCTAATAAAGAAATAAAGGGACCAACTACTTGATCTGAAAGAGTTGGTTGATATATCAAATAATCTGTGCTCAAACTTTCTAAGGGAGGAACTCATCTATGAAGAAATCATTCATTGCCTTATAGTGCTAGGGACAAGATTGAAGAGAGGTGATAACATTATGAACAACAGTTTTTGGTTTAGGGTCTTACTACCACTTTCATAGCATGACAGATATTCATTTATACTCGCCTATTACTGAACTAGCATTTGAGTGACATCACATATGAACACATTATGGTCAACGATGCTATTTAATAACATATGAATATTGATAGGGTAAGCTCCTTCACTCCAATATCGCGCATAAATGAAATGCAACAAGGTAGGACTAGGCTACCCCTGCTCTTATTTATGGATTTTGCATGTAAGCTAGCATCTCAATAAGTGCTTCAAAATAAGTGATGTTCCCAAAATATGTACTTATAAAGATAAACATATAGCATATTAGACCTCGTAGAAGCACCTAGGTAGGAGAAGGATTTACTAGATACATTAGCGATGAAGAGGCCCCCATCATTATTTTGTATTCGATGGTGAAGACTTTGTAGGTTGTTATGAGCATGTCTAGGGACATAATGATTAGATTGATAGATTCAAAAGGTGGTAACATTACATTTAGGAGCGCATGGATTCCAACACCAACTTTATTAAAGAAACTAACCATCTAGATTATGATTACATCAACCAATTTTATGTGTCCCACACAAAAATGTTTGTGAACTAGCACATTATTATGCCCCAATATCTAAATGGAAGAAATAATCATTTTTATCCTCTAATTAAATACCCATAGCTGAAAAAATATGAATACAAATACAAACTATAAAAGTGAAAGAAAAATCCCCCCTTCATAATTGAGTCACACATTATCCCTAGTACATGCAATAAAAGTTATAATAAATGGAACACATGAAAATATATAAATAGGTAATGCGAAAAAGACTTCCTTATGAGCATGTCCTAGCTAGGTTGGGGCATTATAGTGATAGTGGACATGATGAATTTTTAAGGATTGGTGTAAATATGTGTAATGATCCTATTTTATAATAGATAAATTATATATTTTTAAACTAATAAGAACCTTCTATGTTTTCTAGCATGTATAAATATTATCATGGGGGCACAACAACACTATGTTAGTAAACGCTCCGGCGTTGCCCTCCTTGTATTGTGTATTCTAGATTGAGCGATGCAATGATGCTAGAGGGTCGTTTTATGATATCCTCTGCTATAGGATCTAGTAAGATTTTTGTCCTTACCTTTGTGTGTCTTCATTTGTCATTTAAAGGTCTAGAATTGAGGTGGAAAAGTTTAATAGAAACATAAAAAATATCTATAGAAGCATCGTGGCGATGCGATTCTCACTCTTTATTTGGGGGAGAATTTTTAGTTGTGTTGTAATCCTAATATAGAGCACCATGTCATTGAGCTCTATACTTGAAGATGTTTGAGGAAATTTAGAATGTTTCAAGCAAGCATCACAGTGCTACATATAGAGCAGTAGTGCTAGCCACTAAAATATTATTTTATATATATAATATTCCAATCCATTTCATTTTACTCACCCCTTAACTTACTAGTGTAGGAAAGGAGAAGAAGAAGAGGAAAAAAGGAGAGAGAAAGGAGGGGAGTTGAGAATCAAGCTAGTTAGGAGATTCGTTCTACTTGAGGTAGGCTCCCGATTTCCTATTTTTTATTTCAATTCTAGTATTTTTGCGAGAAGTTAGGAATTAAAATATATTTGTAATGAGAATCATTACAAATCTTTCACTATGAAATTGTCAGTATGCTATAATGGGCTATATTACTATAAGGAATCAATATATCACTGGCTAGTTTCATTTATATAATTTTTTTTAATAAAAATGGTGGTTCTGGTACTGGTTGTAATTCATAAAAAATCCTAAAATGGCATTTTAAAGACTCCTTATAAATGGTTTTTTAAATGGTAAATATTCAATGTGCAGTTGAATTTTACTTGTATCATCCTCTAAAGTAGTAAACATGTGTTGATGTTCATGTTTAATATTATTCATATATGTTAATTCTGTTAAACTTTACATGAATATTTATGTTATATGTTGGAGGTTTTGATATGGGAGACTATTAAAGTCTATCTGTAGCAGTCAAGCTGTGGACAGTTTTTCTACATCAATCAAGCTGAGCCACCTAATTGGCATTGATTTGAAATTGAAACAGATGTTACTAGCTGAATTATGAACTGCTAGTTCTATTACTGAATCATGATAATCAACATTGGTTCAACTTATTCACCAGTCTAGAACGACATCTGGAGGCCAATTAGAATGCGTCATATCATCAACACAGCTGTTTACTGGGTGGCATAGCACGTTTTGATTGGCCTCCGAAGTTCGGCATTTACACGTAATAATTTCTCCTATGCTCCAAATTGATCAACTGGCAAGTTATACACGAATACAAATTGTCGTTTAAAAACATTTTACCAAAATAAGCATAGCATTGATAACATATCATGATCCTTAAGCTTAGCTAATATTATTATACAATATTTACCCACATAACCATATCAGCGACAACTCGTGCATTAGTTCAAGCAAAGCCATCATCACGCTTGAACTTTGGCTTATTTGTTCTATGTTACACAGATGATACGACTGATACACATTTAGAAAGTGATTCTAATCCACACGAACGCACTCTCAAACAGATTTCGCAAAACCAATCTTTGTATGTTTGAAATCAAAAACCGTGTGGTACGCACCCATGAATACATCTCCAAGGATCCTATACCAAACATTTCAAATATGATAAATAATTTAAATGATTAAAAGCTACAGGAACTAGTATAGCTATGCATGCGTACCAGAGGGGCCCTCTTGGTGGAGGTATATCAAATGCTGTGAATCCGCTAATGCAGATAGAAGTGTCTGCCTGTTCCACCTTCAAAACATACTGGAAAGGAAATAATACTAGCAGTTATTATTAAAACTAGAGAAGCGCCTAAACATTGAAGGAGGTATATGAGAGAAAGAACCTATATAAACTATAGTATAACCTTCTTTTTAATGCAATTTGCAATTATAACAAGTTTAATTTATTCACACAACAACAACATGCTTTTGTCCCACTACGTGGGATCGGCTACATGAATCCTTCTTCGCCATTGTGTCATATTAAAAGTCAAATTCTCATTTAAATCAAACAAAGAAAGATCATTTATAATACCTCTACATTTCTTAACATAAGTCAAATCTAATACCTCAACTTTCCTAACTGGGTCATCAGAAGGCCTCTGTTTAATGTGACCAAACCATCTAAGGCGACTCTCTCTAATCTTATCTCCCACTGGAGCTACTCCAACCTTTTCACATATATGCTCATTTCGTATCCTATCTCTAAGGGCAAAGCCACTCATCCACCTAAGCATCCTCATCTCTGCGGGAAATTATTGGGTCCGGACACCGGACGGCGTCCTGAGCCCAATGAAAATGTGTCACATCACCCCCTACTCGGTACTGAGCTATGTATGAACTCGATACTCCACAATACCGAGCAATACTGAGCTCGGTACTACTCAGTACCGAGTTCAGTATTACTCGGTACTATGAAGTACCGAACGGTAACCTGTGTCCGGTGTCTGGACCCAATAATCTCTCCATCTTTGCAACACTTAATTAATATTATGCTTCTCTTTTAATGGCCAACATTCAACACCATAAAACATTGCATGTCTCACCACCATCTTATATAATTTTCCCTTAAGTTTGAGGGAAACTTTTATATCGCACAACAAGCCCGATGCATTCCTCCACTTTAACCATCCAACTTAAATTTTGCTGATAATATCCCCATTTATTTCACCATCACTCTGAATAATATATCCAAGATATCTAAAACGTGTACTTTTATTAATGACTTGATCACCCAAAGTCACAATCCCCTCACTAGGTCTATTGCTACTAAAATTATACTTAAAATATTCAGTTTTATTTATAAGAAAGCATTAATGAGGTGGCAATCGTAAAAGCAAAGTTATACCAATAACAAAGCTGTTCATCCTTAAAACACCATGGTCCCCAAAATTACACCAGCAGATACATCATACATAACAGGTCATGAGGGAAATGACAGGTTCAGTTAGCCCATCAAGACAAGCTCTACAAAAACAAGAGTTCATGAGGGAAATACTGTCGGCTTCAAGTTTAGACTTTTCTGTCCAATTGTTATCATAATCATCTGCCATTCCTAGTTTCTTATTCAAAGGTGCTTTTATTCCTCTATGTTGTTTCTTTAAGCTTTTCTTTTCATTTATGATCTATCCCTGCTTTCTTTGTTTTTTATCCCATCGGGCACGACAAACATAAAGAAATAAATATATAATATTAGTTACTACGTGCTCCTGAAAAATTATTAGGTGCAGCGTCCGGACGCGTCCGAAGGTCAATTCAGACGCGCCACGTCATCCAATGCACAGTGCATTGGATGATGTGACGTGACCGAATTGGACTCCGGATACATTCGGACGCTGCACAGAATAATCTCTCGTTTCCTTGGGACTAGTAAAGTTGTCGATTTTTAGAATGTTAGTTGCAAGATAAGATAAAAAGGAAAATTAGCAGGATCAGAAAAAATAATATTAACATTAAAACATAAAAATTATCATAAGCTTGCAGCATACCTGTTCGGGAGTCAGAATAAAGCTTTTGCCTGCAATTGTAAATGAGACATTTGGCATGCTTGCTAACTGCTGGCAATCCACGGCTGATTCTCCCATTGGACTTGGAAGCCTTCCACATAGCTTGAGAAGATTTGAACATCATTGAGAAAATCAATCATTTCAAGAAATATGTATCAAAATATATATTATACATGAATATTAATTTGTGTGCAAAATAATAAGCCTTAGTAAGCAAACCTCATTAGCATAGTTCAATATTAGTTCCTCAGTTTGATTCTGACGGAGCTGATTCTTAATCCACACTACGGCCATCTCACAAGCAGTACAGAACAAATCCGCATTACGAGAAGAAGAGTCCATGTTTTGCTCATCAACCACAGATTTAATGCCAGCGCTGTACAAAAGAGGACCTCAATAATGAATAGAAAAGCCAGAGATATCAAAATCCTCAACACTATAATAGGAAACAAGCTGATACAACTTTCGCAGTTTTAACAAACCTGGTAGACGAAGTTCCATCAAAGACACATAGGCCGATTTGGCTGCATACCTTCTCTGGCCGTGTCTGAACAAGCGGTTATACAGATTAGAAATAGAAAAAGTGGGTAAGCTACATTAGTTTTATAATGACGAGAATATAGATCTTTTTCGTTTAAGTGACGTTGTTAAAAGAGCAAACCTGCGCATTGAGGAGTTCCAGTATCATCTTCCCGTATTGTTCAACAATTTCTTTACATTCAATGCTGACAATGCCTTCTGCACCAATGGCATGATTGATTTGTGCAATAACCGTCTGGTACAGACAAAAATGATGAACAAGTAGCAATTACTTGAAAGCACAAACAAGCAGTAAATCACATCATATTTTAAAATTGATTATAATCATGCAACAAAATATTGTGCAAGGAGATTCTTGAACACAATATAGAATAATAAATATAAGAAAACCATCAAAAGAATTTATTTTCTTAAGATAAGATGGTGGAATTTGAAATGCGCGTAATTGATAATCTTTCAAAATAGCTGATGGGTTTAGAATGGAATTTTCTAGTACAGTCAAACCTAATGTGAGATAAAATAGCTACTTCATTAAAAAAAAATAACCAAGAAATTTTTAGAAGAGTCTAGAAACAGATCATATATTGATAAGGAGAAATTATGGGAAAATAAGGAGAGAAAAGGTCAACAGAAAAAAGAAATGCACTTGTAAAGGGTGGAAAAAACGGAATACTAATAAGGCTTATAATATTTATAAAAAAATTATAAGTCTTGAAATGACTGTGGTGAGAAAAACAAAAACTAAAGCTTTGATGATTATAAAAAAGGCTTGGCATTAAAAAGAAAGAAAAGAAAATATCTTGAATAGCTAAAATAAAAGATAAGAGGACAAGAGATTTTGATCTAAGTTATATGTATTGAAGTGAAGATAATAAGATATTGGTTATAGATGAAGACATCAAGGAAAAATGAAAATGTTATTTTGAGAATTATTAAATAAAAATTTTAGGAAAAACTTTATTTTTGAAGAGCAGAATAGATAATATAATAAATTATATTATAAATTAATCTAAAAAAATGAGTTGCATAAATATATGACCGGGTCTGTAAGAGATATTTATATATCAATCTTCGGAAGATTACATGGGAGATTTTTGTTAATTGGTTAGCAAATCTTTCCAACAGAATTTTGAAGAGAGGATGAAGAATAATTAGGAAAGAAGAAATTTGGTACTAATATTTAAGGATAAAAAATATTCAATATTGTAATAACTATAAAAGAACTATTAAGCCATATAATAAAGTTATAGGAGAGTAATAGAACAAAAAAACAACAACCACCCTTTATCCCACTATGTGGGGTCGGCTACATGAATCATTTTTCTCCATTGTGTCATATTCAGAGTCAAATTCTCATCTAAATCTAATAAAAAATGACATTTCTAATATTTTCCAACCAAGTCTTTTTAGGTATACCTCTACCTTTCTTAACATAAGTCAAATCTAATACACTACTTTCCTAACCGGGTCATCGAAAAACTGCCGTTTTATGTGAACAAACCTCTAAGGCGACTCTCTCTAATCTTATCTTCTACTAGAGCTACTCCAACAAATTCACGTATATGCTCATTTCGTATCCTGTCTCTAAGAGTAAAGCCACTCATCCATCTGAGCATCCTCATCTCTGCAACACTTAACTTAATACTATGCTTCTCTTTTAATGGTCAACATTTTGCACCATAAAGCATTGCAAGTCTCACTACCATCTTATAGAATTTTCCAATTAAGTTTGAGAGGGGCTTTTCTATCACACAACAAGCCCGATGCATTTCTCCACTTCAACCATCCAACTTGGATTCTACTAATAATATCTCAATCTATTTCACCATCACTCTGAATAATAGACCCAAGATATCTCAAAAGTGTGGTCTTATTAATGACTTGATTGCCCAAAGTCACAATCCCCCACTAGATCTATTATTACTAAAATTACACTCCATATATTAAGTTTTAGATCTACTCCAACAAAAGCCTTTAGACACTAAGATTGACCTCCATAATTCAAGTTTACCTTCAACTCCCTCTCTAGTCTGATCAACAAGAATAATAACATCAGCAAAAAGCATACACCAGGTGTACAACCTCTTGCAAATGTCTAGTGAGAACATCCATGACTAAAGCAAAAAAGATATGGGCTCAAGGATGATCCTTGATGTAATCCAACTAAAATATGAAATTACTTGGTCAAACCACCTATTTGAACACAAGTAACAGTGCATACATATCCTTAATGACTTTAATATAAGCATTATTAACCCCTTTCTTATGTAGACATCTCCATAGCACTTCTCTTGGAGAGTAATAGAACACATGATAGAAAAATTACATCAATTATGGATAACTAATTTGGTTTCATGCAAAAAAGATATAGTATTAAAGAGATATAGGCGCTAAAACAATTAATGAAAAAGCATATAAAGTAAAAAAATAATTTTTATAAGATTTTTATTGATCTTGAGAAGACATATGATTGAGTGCAATAAAATGACTTAAAATGTATCAAAATAAAAATATGTGTATCAAAAATATATTGATGTTGTTAAGGAAATGTATGATAGAGCGCATACAATATTAAAGTTGTTCTAAAATGACCCAAGATTTTCCAAATATAAAAGATTTATAATAACAGTCAACATTTGTTTCATATCATTTTGAATTGGTTATCGAAACACATACGGAAGATACTCAAAGTAAGTTGCCAATATATACTTTCTTTGTAGGCCATATAAATCTATTTTGTGATATATCTGCAGAAATAAGTGAAATGCTAAAACAATGGAGAAAATCTTTAGAAGATTAAGGATTTAGAAATTACGGAACAAAAATTAAGTACACTATATTGAATTTTAGGTGTGATATTAATTATTATCACGCCAACTTTTTAAAAAAGATGAGATAATTCCTAGGTGTGATATGATTAAGTATCTTAAATTTGTTATACATAATTCACATACAAATGAGGATATAAATTGAAGGGTGTGGAGGTTGTACGATTAAAATAGAGATGTGCCTAAGGAGTATTATGCAATAAAAGGGTATCAAGTAGACTTAATGGTAAATTTATAAAACTACAATTAAGGTGACGATCTTGTATGGATCTGAATGTTGGGCAATACAAAAAGTCGGTGATATCTACATTGAGTGTTTTAGAAATAAAAATATTAGGATGTATGTGTGGCAAAATTAAAAAGAATAAATGCAAGAGTGATCAGAAGAACAATTTGAGTGTCACAGTTAGAAACAAGGTACCTAAAAATATACTATAAGTTCTTTGAATAGGTACAATAAGGGTAGATAATGCAACCCTTAAACAAGTAGATGAAATTAATATTAGATAATTATAAAATAGAAAGGATAGACTTAAAATTACATGAATAGAAGTTATTCAAATGGTTTTTGAATAACAGGGTAATAATTTCAAGCAATACTAAGCAAGAATAAATTAAAAACTAGGATTCATAAAACCAAATCCAAGTAATTAGGATAAGGCTAATGATGATGAAAATAATGAAAAAGAAGCATATACTAAATGGTTGTTCAATCTGGTGGAAACTTGAAGTAAAGAAGATTATTTACAAGCATAGAAACTTCCTTTTTTTATTAGTTCGAAGCAAAAGGTTTTGTATAAACTTGTACTCAATTTTTTCATTCATTTTCTCACAAATCTATAGCAATATAAATGTGGTCAGATCATTGCACTTTCTTTGCAAAGGTTTACTTTTCATGTATTCTAAATGCAGCAAAAAAAGCAATCCCTACTAAAATTGAGTTAACCGTGTATTTGGATAAAAAATTGCATTCTAGAGAATTCCCAAACAAAAGAAAAAAGGAAATCTTTATCCACTTTTGCACATTCATATTACATTACTAATAATCATGAAAGACATAACAACCTTCTGTAGGGAAAAAACCGGCTTTAGATAAAGCAAGCTGCTGAAGTAAAGAAAAAATAATGACAGCTGCATACAAGGAACATATACATCTGTAATTGAACAGGACCATTTAGTCCACAAAGAATTCGAGCCAGCGAAAAATTTCAAATAGTACCATCTTAAAAATCTTACAATTTATTACCAAGTGTAAACCTGATAGCAGGAACTGTTCTAGGCTAAAAGTTTTAATAAAATGATTTCTCCAAATTTGAGGATAGGAACAGAAACAAAAGCTCATTAAATAATATTTAGCAACTAGAGACATTTTGAAAAAGAACTAAAAGACACGTACAGTTGGACCAGCCAACAAAGAAGTCCCAGAATCTACAATAGCATCACATCGTTCAGCACAATAGCCTGTAAAACAAGAAACATGCGACATGCGAGAATTAATTTAGAACTTGGAGAAACTTTCCATTTACATGCAGGTAAACAACAAAAGATATGATAAGAAAAAAATTTTACCTGTGGACTTGCCACCTATTAAAAAATCACCCATCTCAAACTGAAACAGTAGTGATAAAATTAGTACTATGAGAAGACAAAGGAGTGACTACAGGCTGGCATGGAAGCCATGTTGTGTATACAAAAAGCTATAGTAGATGGTGAGATTTTTTTCGAGGTTGTTCCCTCCTACTGCCATCTTGTATATAAAAAAAGCTACACAAGGCAGTGAAATTTTTTTGACATTATGTTCCTCCAACATTAATGGAGAGAATTGGACTACTATCCATTTAAATAGTCATTTATCCTCGCACATCTTTTACCATCTATAACAATTTTAAATAACTAAGACTTAAAGTAGCTCAAAATAATTAATAATGTAAAAAGTAAATTAAAAGTTATCTTCTAAATAGTTTAAATCATAACAATTCATATTTTGTGATGAATAGTAAAAGATGTGCTCAAAGGACACTATCATTTTAAATTAATAATGCTGTAACTCATTCTCTCTTTCCCTATCTCTCTCTCGAAAAAGATGGAGAGAGAGACAAGAAAAATGAATATTCCTCCACTCCTTTTTTATTTACCACTTTTAAAATAATGAGTAAAAGTTTAAAATAATCTCCCGACTATTCATAAATGTCCAATTTAGTCTCACAATTTTGCATTGCCCCAATTTAGTCCCTCAACTACTAAAAAATGAGTCAATTTAATCTCAATGCCTAAACTAAAAGTTAAAGTTAACTCCAAAGTTAAATATAAAAGGTATTTTAGATATTACTATGGAATATGAGATTACATTACAAATATTCTTTACTTTTAATATTTTAAATATTCTCCCATAATTTAAATGTATTTTATCATAAATCTAAAATCTTTAAAATAAATATCTTTCTCTAACTAGCTATATATTGAATATACTCAAATAACACTTGTAATTAATTTATTTCTAAAAGAATTAAATAAAAGAAAAAATATATTATCCTTGCTCTAAAAAACTTATAATTTAATATCTCTCTTAAGTTAACACTCATTTTTCTATAGATAGTTAAATTAATAAAAACTTAATTTATGTATAAAAATCTCATTTGAATTTATGCTCTGTATGCTCTCTGTCCCTCTATAGATCTTTTATTTACCATTAAAATATTTACTATAATCATTTTTAAGATATAAAATTTTTGATTAAATTTCATTAACAATATTTACTAATTTATTCTTTTAAAAAATTCATAAATCAATAAAATTCAAATAATTAATTTAATAATTAATAATTAGGTATTAGAAGAAATCTTAGGTTTATTTTAAAAATTTATCAACTTATTAATTAAGCATTCACTCTTTCTCTCTTTTTATAAATTTGATGTAAAATCATAATAATAAAATCATAATAAAATAATTTTTATTTTCTCTAATAATTTTTTTTATTAACTAATTACAAAATAAATTTTTATCTCCTAAGAATAATATTTCCTTCTCCTGGTCATCCAAGCAATCGCCCACGCTCGTTGCTCAAGCTCGGTCACTCTCCGATTTTCCTTGACTCCCACTTATTCTTTGGTATCGCTCGGCCTCTTATATGGGTACGAAACCCTTTGCTTGAAACGATGCATTCACTTCGTCTTCTTCGCCTTCACGTGATTGAAACGGCTCGCTCGTTAATTTTTTCAACTCCAAGCGATGGGAAACAACACCAATTAACTTCGTCTTCTTCGACATAACCTATAACCTAAAATGACTAAATCAACCCTCCTTCCGCTTCCGTGACTCCAATTGACATCTCCTTCATCTTCTTTGCCTTCGTCTTTGTCTTCTTCACCTTCATGAAACGAGTTCGGGATATTATAGAAACTCTCCTCTCGTTAGTTGTCAATGTAGAGGACGGCGAAGTGTTATTTGATTTGTGTAGGACGAAATGGAATCAAGACAGAGGATGACACCCCAGCACCGAATGTCCAACTTCTGCCTCGCACAATTTGTTCTCCAAGGATTATAACGGGAAGGCGAGCGAGCATGTAATAAGTTTTTTACAAAATTGGCCCAAAGAAGCAAAGTTTTTTGGCTTTTCCCGTTAATTAAAATAGCAAAACTAACAGAAGGAATAAGTTGGACAATTTTTAAATAGTTGAGGGACTAAATGAGGGTAATACGAAACTCTGGAGTAATTTGAGCATTTATCAATAATCAGGGACTATTTCGAGCTTTTTCTCATTAAATAATAAAAAAACAAAATTGCACTTTTGATTGTGAACTACAAGATAAGAATCAAATGTAGATTGAGTTTCATACATTTTCATGAAACTATACCCATTTATCAAGAATGTGAAAAAATAGAAGGATGATTAAACATCATAAATTCTTTTAATAACTTAATGTTACACATGTATTTTTCACCAAATAAAATTGTTTAATGTAAGATGACATCAATAAATCATGCATTTGTTTTTAATGCATTAAAAAATCTCTAAATATAAAAATAAGTTTTTTTCTTATGCAATTGAATCCATTGATAATAAAATTTTGATGCGCCGGATTAATGATCAAGCAATCTTAAAATTTGTTGAAATCATATATGCTATTAATTTTAATGATGATAAAGAGAAGGATCGATTTTGAACTTAAGTATGAAAGTCATAATATCAAAAATTAAATGGAGAAAAATCCCTTTTACATAAGTAAATAAAATGCATCAGAAAAAATGCCAAAGAAATTTAGATAATTAAAAATAAAGAGCATAAAGTAAATTACAATAAATTTAGAAGAAAAGCATGCATGTATTCATGTTTTCTACATATATTTTTATTTCAAATAGGAAAGAAAATATTGGTTGTAATATAATAAACATACATAACTTAAAAAAAAAATTTGAAAAACAAGTATATTTTAAAATAGAATATTATTTTTATAGCTCTATTTTATTTATTATTATTCAAATTATAATATTCTAACAATTATAAGACATGTACTTTGTAAACATAACAAAGTAATATAATTCATTGCTAAGGCCCTATTAATTTTTTTTTAAATCGAGTTAATAAGATTAGAGTTTTCTAAGAATGAAAATCATTTCATTTAGCAATATAATTAATATAATAAATACAATAACAACAACAACAACATCATCATTATCAAGCCATTATCCCACTACATGGGATCTACTAGATGAATCTTTTTTCTCCATTGTCCTATTAAGAGTCAAATTCTCATTTAAATCTAATAAAAAAATATCATTTCTAATATTTTCTAACCAAGCCTTTTTAGGTCTACCTCTACCTCTACCTCTCATAAGATAGACCAAATATAATGCATCTACTCTCATAACCGGGTCATCAGAAGGTCGATGTTTTATGTGCAAACCATCTAAGACAATTCTAAATTAAATAAATATAACTTAATCAATTAAACTCCTAACCTATAAACAAATAACAAACATGAAACGGATTAAAATCATATGCATGTTAATCAAAGTTGCCCCATATCAATTAGATAGAGTTATATAAGAATTTTTTTTGTTTTTTACAACCGTTAACTACAAAATCCTCTCATTGTCTTGGCACTATAGGAACCAATGTAAGTTGCAGCGAGTGGATTCATGGAAGAGGAATCCCCTACATGTGCGTAAGGACTATAAATAACTAGATCAGTTCAAGTTAATCAGGCCAATCTCGGTCAGGTTGGACTGTTTTGGGGGCAATTTTGTCCAATTTACATAGGATCGAGTATCATGCATCATCTCCATTCCCATGTAACAAAGATAAACAAACCAAGACTGGTTTGGATTTACATTTACCTAAGCCATATTGAGATGTGGATTGTTATGAAATAGATAATGTAGACACTAGAAAGTGTTAACGGTAATGTGAAAGAACATCAAAATTCTATTTAAAAAATTTTGAACCAACTTATATAAAATCTTAATTTATCATTTTTCTTTAATCTATGTAGCTTATCACATCTCTAACTTAAAAAAACTATAATCATACAGATATAATTGAATATATAAAATATTTCACAGCCACCAATTATTGTTTAATTGATTATTTTGACATAACGTAATAATTTGCAAAAATAATACAGTTATTTATAATATTAATAAAATACAAAAAATACCATGCTAAGTAATCCTATTTAAATTATATTAAATAACTTAAAATTAAATATAATTTTTATAATTAAATAAAATAGTAATTGTAGTAATTATATTTATATAATCAACTTGTAGGTAAAAAATATTGCCAAAACCCATTTGGAATCATTTTTTTTAGCGTATGACAAAGCAACAAGAGCTTTTTTTTGACAAATATTTGATTTTATATATGATTATATTCATCAAGATTTACAGTAAAATTATGTTGCATAAGTGATTTTATCCTAGTTTATTCGCTTTTATTTAATAGTAAAATTTATATAATAATTTTTTGAGATAATATTGTTGTTTCCGTGAATTCAATTGTCATTTTTCCTATGTATATGCACGATTATCTGTTAATTATCTTTATAATGTTCTTACCTGCCAATATCCCTTGCGACTCACTGGCACATATACGTGATCACCAGTAAAATGTTTTCGATCATAACCACCAAAAATGAGCTCACCCCCCGTTGTATCATTTGGATTTCGGTTCAGCCAGAAGGAGAAAACTTTTTTCTTTAATAAACCTTGCTCAGCCATAGTATTCCTGCAAATAAGGAAATAATAAAATAATACTTCTATCACAACCAAAACTGACAAACAATATTTATAGAATAAAGGGCATAATAAACAAATTTCTTTCTCCAGACAGAGATGAAATAGGTAAACAACTGTATGACAATGCTGCATAACTATAACAGGAAATGAAAAATATATATATACCAGACTGGTGGATAACCGCCCTCCGAAATCTCCTGGAAACCAAGCCCAAGTATCCCATCAAACTTTGCCAGTAAGAATGTCAGGCTTCCTTCTCGAATTACCTCAATGAAAACCTGAAAAATACCATCTCTTGTCATTAAAACTAAACATGGTGTTACTGATCTGCAATTTGGAAGCACTCCAAATGAAATCCATAAATTCAAACCCACTTGTTTCTCCACCACAAGGTCTCCAACTTGCACATGATCTTGACTGAAGAAACCAGAGATCGAACCAGAACCATAGGTTATCTTACATGATTTCCCTGAACAGAAGGCAAAGATTTTGATGCCACAAAGGGATTTGAAGGCAAAGTTCACAAGAATTTTGACGTTTGCTTTACACGCGCCTAGAAGATAAATGATACTCTAAAAAACCAGACAAAATTCTTAAGGAAAATGATAATTCTGGCAAAAGGAGAACGTCTCCGTAGAGGATGCCTTATTAACATCATAGGTTTTTGCCAACATAAAAACCATCCAGCAGGCTTAGAAACTATTATCATACAGCAACACTTTCTCTACTAAAATATAATTCATATTTAACTTGCATAAATGTGAATCATTGCACAGTCAAGATATCCCAACAACAAAACTACCATGGAATCAGATGCACATTCAAGGAACGAGTTTTAGAGTAATACCATTTTCTATGTATGAGCTTGATAATTTTGAGTGGTACCGAGAGTGGAAGTAACAAGGAATCTGCAGTAGTTACCATCATTCCATTGTAACCAAGAAAAGAAGAAACTATAGCTAGATCTGAGTTTCATGCTCTGGAAATTGCCTAATAATACAAAAACTTACAGAGAAGTAGCATTTGGATGAAGGAACCCACAGGTTGGAACTCCCAGTATCAAATATGACAGTGAAATTCTGTGGAGGTGTCCCTACACCTATTACACCATAGTACTGAGCATCCAAATAGTTCTTCAAAGACACAACATCAGTTTTAGAATCATCCGTGAGAAAATCAAGGCCCTGATTTTGGAGATATAAATACTCTTTTTTGACAAACTTTGCTGTATGTAGGCGGTCGATGTCGAACTGCTTCTTCCTAAGGCCAACCCTAAGTAAGCCATTAGAAGAAGCATTGATGAATGAAAAGTTCAACAAAGTCCACAACCAGATGCATATCAATAGACGTTTCTGCCTCATTTTCCCAAAACTATCTGTAGAGAATAATTAAAGAAGCTAATAAGCCTTTATCAAAAAGGAAGGGGATATGGGAAGTGCATTTAAGATGAATACATGCAGTTTGAATTGGAGACCTTTTCATGAGTAATGAAGATCAAATACTGGCAATGAATAGCTGGTGAAACATGCTTATATAGATAAAGGACTTAAGCTTACCAACTAAGCCAAGAGTATTTTCATGACAGAAGGAAATTATATGAGAGGCCAGAATCCAATCCTTGCACTATTATCATGCCAGATGTGGATAAAGATGAATTTACAATACTAGTATTTTAAATTAACAGCAGTTATAGCTTACAACAGGCATATTGAGCTACCAATGTCAGATAAATAAAGTCAAACCAATAACCACAAGAAAAGATTTGAGAGTGTAAAACAAATCAAACTTTGAAGCCACATAAAATTAGAAGATATCCAGAAGGGGTCATAAAAAGCCCATCATAACTGACCATGCAACACTTTTTTTATTTTTTTGCCACTTACGCGCGTAGCATCTGCTATAATCTTCAGATAGATAACCAATTTATTCAAGTCAGCAGAGTGTCATCTTCAATAATAGTTTGATTACAGTAAAAAATTTATACTAATAAGAAAAAAATGAAAGAAGTCCAGGAACCCTCGTTAAACAATAATCATCAGATATGGCAAGAGATCAACTTCATATAAAAGAAATTACATATCATGCAATAAACCTGCAAGGCATGATTGGGCTGGAAATCAAAAGTTCTATATTGATGACTCTTCAGGCACGGTAAATTCAAGCCTCGCCAATCGAGAATTCCAAAGCGCAACTACCATGCCAGATATGCCATAGAACCTTTTTCCAGAAACTAAAAAGTAATTCATATAGAACAGGGGCCATGAAAACAATCGCCACGAGTTTACATAATTTTAAATCAACAGACGAAGTAAAATGTTTTGCATATAAGAGAGTTGTAGATTTAAACTGCAAAACAAGTACTTTTCGGTGTGGAAGTTTGAAAGCTGGATCACAGCAAGCTTCCAGAGAAGGGGAAAAACTCGGAAAAACCAAATATAGACAAACAGAAGTCTGCCTGTAGATGAAAATAAGGGACTATTGAACAGACGATGGTTTTGAGCTCTATACCTTGGCACTTGTGAAGAGACTGAGTGGAAGGCATTAGAGTGCAGAAGAAGACGGTGAAATGAAATAAAAGCGTTTGACAAAAAAAATGAAGTTTGAAACCTAACACATAGCCCCACCTCGCAACTTCCGATGTGCGACAAATCTGACGTCAAACAAAGGACAAAGTCGTTGCGACGTGAAATAAAAGCATTGGTTAAAAAAAAAAGTTATAACAAAGAAAAAAAATTCTTAATTAGCCGGAGATTTAGATATCGGTCACTTACAACTCTTCTATCAATATGGTCAATATTTATAAATTCAAATTTTTTAAATAGATCAAATTTATCGCTTCGTTAGCCATTTTAGGGCCCGTTTGATTTACCGTAATTTCGCCGTTTTCAGTTTGGATCGGTGAAAATTTTATAATTTAACTGTTTGTTTAGGCGGCGTTTTAAAACTATCGTTTGCCACACCGCCCTTTTTTCGCCGATTTGAGTAGGATAAAAAATCTGCTTCTCCGTTCTAACACCTCCGTTTAAAACCGAAAAAAAAAGTCGGTAGGAGCCAAACGAGGCCTTAACCCGCATCTTCATTAACTTACTTCCATAAGTTAAACTCTCTCAAACTCGCTTAAAGTACAAATTAATGCCCTCTCATCAACCATAACATGAAATACTTCTCCACATAGTGAACTTTTTTGTCTCTTAGGGCATCTCCAACCAAACTACAAATGCTCGTTTGTAGCTGCCATGAGCCTCTACCTAAGCATTAAAAAAACATATTTTGGCGACTGTGAACAGGGCGTCACATTATTCACCAAAACTTATTTTTTGATGAAAATAAAGATGTTAAAGAATCTATATTAATTTTTTTAGTTAGAAATGGAGTTTGATTATAGATAAATTGTTATTTGATATGGCTGTTACTATATTTTGAAGTGAAAAATGAGGAATTCGGTTTGGAGATGGCTTTCCATCCTAAAAGATATGTCCATACCACCTTCACGCAGCTTTGTTTTTGCCCTAGAGCTCATTCCACCCTTTATGACGAGGATAATGATTAAGTACTCATAATATAAGATGGCGAAGAAGATGAAGTGAGCTCACATGATACCAAACCATTTGATACTAGCATTGAACTTCATCTTGCAATGATGGGTTTTTTTACAAGTCAAGGTGGAGACGGTAAAGCTTGATCACTTGGAGCATGTTTTCATGATTTTTTTTTTTTTTTAAGTTAGTTTCAAATAAGTCCTTCAATCCAAAGCCATTATTTATGATGTCAACAATTATTTTTTAATGTAAAATAAGGTGATCATTATATAGTATTCTAGATAGTTTAAGAGTCACAACAAGAGCTATCTACTTTATATAATCTAGAACTATTAGGTTTTATGTTTTATTTGAAGGTTTAGATGTGTTGCTTATATAAGATTAGGGGTAAAGTATTCACAAATCATAAAAAAATTAAAATGTATTTTAACACAAAAGTAAGAGAAATTGAGCAGAGAATGTGGCTTGAGCTCACCTATGATTATGATTTAGATATTTAGTATTAACCAATGAAAGCTATTAGTAAAAGTTTATCACCATTGAAGCTAAGTTGATTAAGGATTAAAAACCTCCAAGTGAGTATAGCTAGGCCTAGGATTATAGAGCTGATTATAGCTATATTATGCACCTACTGTAATATCAAAAATCTGCTCCAGGATCGTCCAGGACGATCTGGATCGTCCTGGGATACACTTTGTTGCAACCTAAGAGCCTGATCCTATGTTTTGATGATTACAAGTGAAAGTACGAGGAGGTTGTAAGATCTCAATGAACTAACTCGAGGCACACCAAGAGGGGGGGGGGATGAATTGGTACTTTTAAAAATAATTACTACAATGATAAAAATCCTTGCTAGAGAATGGTTTTGAAAAATAATTCTGAAAAATAAACAATTATCCTAACACATGCAGAAGCGAATCAAGGTTTAATATATTTTTCATTTTCAAGCATAAACATATAATCAAGATATGAATTTTCTTTTTCTTTTTCAAACCACAAAAAATTAACCTAATTGTAGTTAATGGTAAACAATGAGATTCGATCAGTAAGCTCAAATTATAGAAATAAAATGTGCAAAAAAATAAAAATAAAAAAGAGCACATCAAATTTTATAGTGATTCATCAGCCTTGACCTATATCCACTCACATGAATCCTCCTCTTCGGGGTATTGCACTAATCACTATAGTGTCTCTTCTTTTGTCCAAACAACAAGACTGAGAAGGCCTTACAAGAATCCCTTTCTCCAACCCTAGTGCGACATATAATCGAAAGCTATGTTACCCTTCAAGTGGCGGTAGTGAACCTTCAATTCTTTTTCTTCTTCATAGAGAAGACAGAGAACCTGGAATCCTTTCTCAGCGACCTGGTGCTGACAGAGAATCACAAACTCCTTTCTCACCCTTATGTTGATGGAAGAGAACTACGTCCTTGAGATGAAAAATTCTACCCAAAACCACCTAAGAAACCTAAACGGACACTTGGAGGAACAATACAATATACTTGTTTGGAGCAACCATGTGAACCCCTCACACTCCTCCCTCACACATAAGTTCTCCCTCTCTTCTTCCCAAAGCTCTTCTCAATCCCTTCTATGAGCTCTCTCTCTCCATAACACTCAACAACCAAAGACTTGAAATAAGTCTAATTAGAGAGATTAAATACAAGGCCTAAAAAATCCCTATAAATTCAGCTCTGGTGACTCTGATATCCACATTACGATCCAAAGACTGTATGGTACGATTAGTTCAAATAATCATGTTACTATTGTATAAAGAATAAGGTATTGTACGATCAGTTCAATAAATTGTGTTGATCGTCTATTAAGATTTGAGAATCATCCAGTACGATTAGTTCAAATGACGTGGATTATCGTCCTATACGATTAGGGATGATAAAGTATTATCTCATGCAAGGATCAGGCTATAAAATATGATTATGTCCAATCAACTTGTACAATCTGACTGGATCTATTAATTCAAAATCACTCATTAATTATAAGATTAATTTAGAAAATATTTAATTATATTATACTATATGATACCTATCGTATGGTATAATTAGTTCAAATTTTAAATTTCAAAATATTACCTAAATTGTGATTGGCGGCTGGAATCTTGATTTAAACTAATTGTCCTATATGATCTAAATCATCTTGTTTGATTAGTTCACATAGTCTTAATTACACGATTATTTATTTTAATGATTTTCTAATTAGCTAATCATAATGTGCATTGTATAGTATGATATGGATCGTACAGTATAATTAGTTTAGAAAAATTGAACTTCTAATTTTGTCACTATCTCACTCCCTTCAGTGTGTGTGCGTGTACGATCACCAAGCATAGTATCCACAAAATATATAATTTGTCTCAAGAAATGTAGAAACAAGAAAATATAAAATTACATACTCTTCCAAACACTTAACCCTATTCTACTTAGTCTTGAGCTAAAAACTTTTGTATAGTGTATGATGGACCTGAAATATTAGTGTATAAGAAAAATAGATATGCAGTAATAGCAATTAACATAAGATGGCATATTAAGGAATCCAATAATATTTATTATCATCAAAATCACAAAACTTGGGTCCATATTTACAATAACAAACATTTCTTGTGCTCTTAATTATTTTCCACCATCCATTTTAAGGACTAAGATCTTAGGGAGAAAGGAATAGATTTTGAAAAGAGTTGAGTGAAACTTGTTTCCCTCCCTTTAAATAGAAATTGTCCATATCATACAGTAAGATATGGTATCATACAATACAATGGAGTGCATTCAATTCATCCAATACGATTAGTCAAAAAGGTCGTCTTATCGTACAAAATGATCATAATCGTACTAGGTGATTGGTATAATTATGGTCATCCTGAGAGTCAGTTTGGACGATCGTTGACTAGTTAGATCATTATATATGAGCATGTGTTCGTATAGTACGATACAATATTTAATATTGTACTAATCGAATTCAATTCATCCAACACTTGGTGCCACGTGGATCATATAGTATGATCACCAATAATTGATCATAGATCATAGTCGTTGGATTTATCAGGCATTAAACCTATTTATTGTCACTACACTTCACTTATTTTATCATCCTAGATTTCCCCTATAAATTTGAACTCTTGTTATAACTCTTCTCTAATCTTAAAATCACCAATGATAGAACAAGCATGCAATCACTTATCTATGGATGACAAGTAGTTATTACTGACATCGATTTTCACAAGCACTTATACTTATCTAACTTTGGATTCAAACCACACGATGTTTGCATAGCCTTAAACTATAAATGGATTGATGTCAACTTGACCTTGAGGAATTGTACACTCAATATTCACTAGCCTCTTATCAACACTATGATATTAAATGCACATGTTATACAATATGTCTTTCAATATAATATTATCCCAAAAGCTGGAGATAGAATCAATATCACTCCCCTTCTCTCTATAATCACATATTATTGCATGACTGACACTAATTGTAATCTTGCAAATATGATAGTCTACTATATTAAAAATCTAACCCCCATTAAAAGCCCTAGAGCATGCCAAAAATAAAACCTAGCACTTGGACACCAAATTGATTACATTCTTGAAGCCAAATCTAATCTCATGTACCCTACACCACCAGATCACATACCTTCATATTTCACCAACATGTAAACACTTCTTAAGGAAGATTATGAGAAACATAAAGCAAGGGGAGTCCTTGTAGAGCATGTTCCTTAGGCACCACCATAAACACCTAATGCACCACATTACCCCCTTGACACTTGGACTAGGTAGTTTACTCAAATGGAGTTCAAATTAAACACACATATTCAACAGTCCAACAAATAATAGGAGGCAATGCAACAACAACATTAGGAGGATAAGAAATGGTTCTAGGAATAATTCCCACAATAATTTTCAACAACCACAACCACCACCTGATCAGGGTCCTTCTGACT